GCTTCACATTTGGATATGGTTTGACAACTTTTGACTTCACAAACTCCAAAGAGGTACAATCTGCAAAGGCACCTGTTCACGAATCTGCAAACTTTTTTTGTCCTTCGTGCCATCTCTCAAAATAGACAACTTTTCCCGTGCCATCTTTGCTCCATTCTCTTCTTGACTCATTGAAGTAACATTATGAATAAATTCGGGCTCAAAACTCTTTGTTGGTTCTTGTGCATTAACAAGCTTTTGAAGGTGCARTGTGAAARYCTCTTKAATCTTCCTTGCCTTTCTTGTAATAATTGCTCCTTTGATATATGTAATTGGTCACAAATGGATTCGTATCATCCCCCCTTTCTTTAAAAGGATTTGTCCTCAAATCAAGGTTTTCATTTCCTTCATCAAAACGAATCAAGTTAGTCCAATGATAAGCCTTAACAACTTGTTCCTTACCTTGTGAGTTGTATATTGGAGCTTGAAGATTTATGATTTTCTTCGTTGGACATGTCACTTCTTTCTTCTTGAGAGAATTGTTGCTCTGAATAGATTTGTCTCCAGGTCTACTGATAAATGCCTCCTCTTTTTTAAAATATTGCGATGGGTCGTTTGAATGGACGTCCGAGTGTGAACAGCCTTTTTAACAGCTTAACAGCTACCTCTACTTGACGCCATTGCTCGTGAAACCTATGTCAAGAGATAAATTACACTTGTATTTGGCCGTGTCGGACAGCGCCATCAGCTCAACCTTAATCAAGTAAGACGACGTACGTTAGAGTCTTGTTTACTATACAAGTAATGCCATGACCGAGGCCGAGACCAGGTATCCTCTAATGGAAAAACTAGCCCTCGCCTTTGTCACTTCGGCACGAAGACTCAGGCCCTACTTCCAAGCCCATGTTGTGACCGTGCTCACGAACTTACCGTCGAAACAGGTCTTTCATAAGCCAGAGACATCTGGTCGGCTAATGAAATGGGTGGTGGAATTAAGTGAGTATGACATCCAATTCAAACCTCAAACAGCTATGAAAGGACAAGCCGTAGTTGATTTCATAGCCGTACTCATGCCGCCACCGACCCAAACTTCTGTATCTGACTTGCCATAGACCATGTATGTGGACAGGTCCTCTAATGAAAGAGGATATGGTGCAGGCGTGCTTCTACTCGCACCAGATGACATGAGCTTCGAGTATGCCCTTCTCTTCAACTTTCGTACCTTAAACAATGAGGCCGAGTACGAAGCCCTTTTGGCCGAATTGCACATGACTAAATGATGGGAGCCAGCCACATCCAAATTTTTAGCGACTCGCAGATGATTGTGAACAAAATAAAGGATTAGTACTAGACAAAGGATTCTCGGATGGAGTACTTGGGAAAGGTCAGGTCGCACCTCGCCTAGTTCCAAACTTACAAGATTAATCAGATTCTTGGGCGAATCCGCAAACCATCGCTACAAGATTCAAAACAACGTAAGTAAAATAATAAAGGCTTTAAGTATTCGAATGAAGGTCCAAGTACGACGTATCGAGCTCCGAGTTCGGTCTATGAGCTTCGAGAGGAATTAGTAGAGGATTTGCAATCTAGCAATCCTGAAGCAAGAAAAAGCTTGTCGATTAAGAGAGTGTCAGTCTTCTTGCCACTCTTGAATTTATCCTTGTAAATTTTCAAAATGTCGAACGTCGCTGAGAAAGCTGAGGAATAGGTTTGATGGCAACTGTCAAACAAAAAAGAAGCAAAGGGTTGGAGTACAAGGATGAGCAGTGTTCGGAAAAATAAAAAGACTCAACTTCTTACCTAAGTTCCCAAACCTATAGGGGACTGTAGAAAGGCTGGTCGGACTCGTCCTTGGCCAACCAAGCTCCGGAGGCATAGAACCACTTTCCGACCCATTTCTTTATGGACTCGGACCCTTGAGGATGCCTCATGCACCCTTTCTAGCGCACAAGTAATACCTCTCAGGTTTCATGGAGATGCGCTTTACCTTGAAACAGGTTAAGAGCTGGTCGGTCCTAAGGAGGTCTAGCCCGCTACCTCGCGACACCTTAGCCAAAATAAAACAGCTAAGGTAAAGACAACACCCCATCCATTGGGGGCCACCTGAGTAGGAGCCAACCAAATTCGAGCTAGGAACTCTTACATCAAATGATGAACGTGTAGGCGAAAGGCATACTCGAACACCCTTATGGAGGGTCATCGGCACGCTCCCCTTCCTTGGGAAGCCTGACGACAATACTTTTCGGAATGCTGTACCTCTTACGGAGAGGGTCGAGATAGTTCTCCGGCATTTGAGAAGGGAACTCCAAACCCTGACCTGCAGTGGAGGTTTCACTGTCATCCCCATCGTCCTCAGAAAATCTAAAGTTGTCTATTTCCTCCTCCAGCTCGAAATCTAACCAACTAGCGAATTCCTCTACATAGTCGACCTTCTTAGGTGAAGGGCTCCGACTCTGATCTACGCTATTGGACGAACTAGATGAACTGGAAGAGCTACACATGATTTGAAAACTAAACATTCAAGACAAAAGCAGAAGAGTGAGACTGACCTAGGGTTAGTTCCAACTTGCTCAGGTCGGACTCCAAGATTTTAGAAAGCGTAAAAAACGGATCTGACATCTATGACTTTTTATAGTATACCGAACTATAATCTCAACCTTACACGTGTTTAAAAGGCAACGATCTAGATCATGCGAAAGATCGAACATCGAAAATACTCGAGTACACGATGGCTATTGGTTCCGTTTTTGAGATTCTTCAACGGTAGTATTTTGTACCACGAGCCCGGAAGTCGCCGCATTGGTTGGTTTCCTAGAAAATCACTTCTCTGCCAGATCGAGCTTGAATCTGGCAGATGGGGGTCAATGTTTGGGGAAGGAAACCAGAGTACCACGTCGAGGACAGTGATTCGCCGAATATTTTCAGATGAAATTTTATGTGGGCCAACCTCGGAGGCTTCCGAAGAGGATAACTTAGTCATTATTTCTGCTATTAAGATACCAATAATCGAGTAAAACCGTCCGAGTTTAAGCCCGACAGGTTCGACCTTAACTCCGACCAGGACAACTGCCTTTTCCAACCCCTGTCGGGGCCTAAACCTATAAATAGAGGGTCTCATTTCACTGTCAAGTATCAAATTTCTCCTTGAACTTAATATTGAGTATGAGCTGCATGCTTACTGACTTGAACATCGGAGATGTTGCCCTCTTGTGCAGGTTTTCCCGTTGCCTTCCAAGTCGGACCTAGGACCGAGTTCAAGCTTGACCAAGGTTTGACATTGTGCAATTTTTTGCATAAACATATATTATAACTCTTGTTATGTCTCTTATCTTTCAAAACTATCCATTGGCTACTAACAAATTTTTAAATATTGATGTGTGTTTCTTTAAAAGAAATTATTAAACCTGTGATAATAAGTACGAGGGGTACTTACCTCTTGATGGGTCAATAGGAAGTTTCTTGTCCACACTACAACAAAATAGAGATTCAATGACGTTTATGAACAGTAAAAAAAAGCCGAAAAGAAGCCATCCAGAAAATGTGAAAGGTTTGTTTTTTGAGGGAAAGCATGAAGTATTTTGAAATTTTATTTATTGATGACTTTAACGTCACGAAAAAAATATAGGATTTTATGATAGTTAAAAATGTGACAAAAAGTGGAGGCGCGATTTTCACAAGAAAAAATATTGATTTACATATTTTTTTCGTTATTTATGACGTTATTAAATCGTACCTAAATTCAAGGATTCCATGACACTTAAAAAATATCACAAACAATTTAGGTGGGTTTTTTACCGGAAAAGACAGACATTTATGGTTTTTTTTATTATTTGTGACGTTATTTAAACATCAACCAGGAAAAAAAAATAAATAAATAAAAAATTCCATGGCATGGGCGTTTTTGTCTGCTAATTATTTTTAAAAAAAGTAAAGAATAAATATTTTTTTCTCTCTCTCTTTTATATGTTTCTCCTACCCGAGAGATTCCAAAACAGAAGTGCAAGCATAATTTTTTTTATAAGTCTCGAGACACTTTAATTTATTCATAAATCCTTCACAAACTCGGGAGTAATTATTTAGAAACATAAAAACTTTGATAATGCCCCAGAGAACATGGAGGAGGCATTTATCACAGAGTACAACTCATGAGTTCTACTCTTCAGATATAGCCTTCACAGTGTTCCACGAATTCCAAACGAAAGAGGCACCACATTTATTGGCGTTTAAGGGGCAGTCCTCAAAAACAGAAGCATCCTTCTTGAAACACAGAGATATTTCATGCAATTGCGATGCTCCAGTCCTGCTGTTGTAGTTGCATCGAACGGCTGGCGTCTTTCCAGTTTTTGCTCTAATTGCTGCATACACTTGATCCCTTGTGTATGTTCGTCCGTTGGGTGTAATTTGGTTGTTACTCAGAATAACTTGGAGATTGTTATGAATATATGCATCCATTCCAAATCCGAAATATTCTTGCTGGTCATAAAATGTTGATTCGCTGCATGTTCCATGCTTGTCCCACTCGTGTTGCCACAGCCAAAAGTTGTCGCCTGTCGCTACGTTTGGCCAAATTTCGCTGATTCCGGGTTGTAGTCCGCTGATCTGGAGACTCAATAAATTTTTTTAAAAATAGGGTTTACTGTTTAATGTTAGGGTGTTTTTTTTCAACTGGTTCTCACTATTTTCATATACAATAGTTACACGATATCAACGACTAAATGAACCAAATTTAAAGAATATGTAGAGCCCGTTTATAACATTCTCGTCTCTTGTCTTTATTTCCTTTTTTTTAATAAAGAAAAATAGAATGGCACGACTCCTAACAGACACAGATCCAAGAATTCGAATGACAAAAGAAGAAATTTGTTTTTGTTGTTTCTAAAATTTGTTTACAATTTTGAGATTGTTCATAAAAAATTAGTAACAAGAAACATAAATAGTTTGTCATAGATTTAAATTTCTTAATAAAACTGAAAACGAGAAACAAGCTAGATATGGGAACACATAAATATACCTGATTCCTATCGAAGGGACTACCGGAACATTGGGTTGGATAGCCATCGTATAGGCTGGGCCACACGCCATGGATACTGAATCTATTACCTGGGGCTTGAAAGCATGCAGGCTTATTATAATCACTGCAAGTAGCTGGTTGCCATTGAATCACAACCTGCAAGTAGTCAAACTCGTTGAGTCCCTCACAAATTGCTACCAATACCAACATACTTAAAACCAACACAATAATTTCTCTCTGCGCCATTTCTAAAGGTTTTACAGATCTTAGTAGCTCGTGAGTGATCTAATAAGCGAGTGCTATTTATACAGCTAGTTTCTACATAGCCCATTTTTCGTTCTCTCTTTCTATATAATTTAAATATTTGTGTTACATACCAGTTTGTCTTTTGTTCTTTTGGATAACTACAAAAAGGGGCCTACAAAAGATGGATTAGCGTTTTGTAATATGATTAATAAATCAACCCTTTTCAGATAAAATATATATAAATATATGATTAATGAAAACATATTCACATGTGCAAAAAAACAAAAAGTTGCATGTCATAATTTTAAAGATATTGACAAAAGTAGTGGGTAAGGGGTTCATATATGGACCGCATGGAGATAAATTTATAAATTAAAGAAAAAAGGACATGGCTTTTCTTATGAATCACAATCCCCAATAATATGTATTTTTGTTTTACTCCAACTTATCAATTTTAATTACTTATAAATTTTTAAAAAATAAAAAATAAAATATGCTCAGAGCTTATGAGTTTTTTTTTACAATATGTAGAGTGGGAGATCGAACTCGCAACGTCTTAGTTAGATATATATGTCAATTACTGTTACCTGTCTTGTTTTGGCTAATTACTTTTAAATTAATATCCCTTCCCACCTTGAGTCAATATAATAAAAGCAGTTAACCACTCTCCACGTAATTAAACAAAGACCATAAAATATTTTGTGAAATAAATATTCAATTTATATAGTAAATTTAATCCACAATTTGTCAAGAGTAAACATGAAAATTATCCTAAATTTGAAATACTAAAAAATATATATTTTTTTAATTAAAAATAACCATTGCACACTTGTATCGGTTAAAAATGGAAAACAATAAACATAATCTTATTCCACGACTATAAATTTCATTTGCGTTTCTATTGGTGTATTAAACCAAGTACTTTATTTTTTTCCGCTTCCCTCTTTTGTTTCAAAGAAAGGTAATTTCATAATTAAATAAAAAAATATTCAGTTTCGCACATGGGCTGCAATTGTTGATGGCTTTTCATATTAAATGTTTTCACGCGAATATAAAAATCTTATGGTCATGGACGAGAAAATCCCTTTTTTCTGGTATTGAAACAAGAAGTACTCATGGTCTAAAAATTTCCCATAGATTGAGGGGAATATATCTTATATTCGAAAGGATAAGATATCCTAATGACCTTAGGATTTTACCTCTATAAATACAAGGTAAATATTCAAAGTATACTACATATACATATCTGTATTATTGGTTATGTCAAAATACCCTACTCTCCATACTCGACTTCTTCAATGGCGAGAACCACACTGGTCTTTAGTACATACTCTTCTATTTTGCACGTCTCGTTGATCCCTTTTATTTTAAAAGATTGGTGTGGATTTTACAAAATCGTAGGAGGCCAAATTTTTGCATCAACAATTGGTGTTGTCTATGGAGATGACTAAGATCTAAAGGCCAAGGCAGTCGGCATGAATTCTGAGGAAGTCAACAACACTCTGTTGACAATGAATGTCATCCACAGAGGAAGGTAAACCATGAATTATTCTTGCCCGAGATGGTTGAAAGCGATGAATTGTTTAAACACAAAATTAAGCACGTTATTTATTTATTTATTTTCAATTTTATTTAATCACGATATGTGATTTTTCTCAAATATTTTATTCTACTCTGATGTTCAAATTTTAGGTAAATTAATTACTTCCTATGTCTTATACTTGAGAAAATTTTTTGTTTGATGTCCAAACAAAACCTCCTCCAGTGAGGGCATGTGTAAGTTAATCAACAGTCAAGAAACTCGAATTGGGACAGACCTAGAAGTAGGCCCAGTAAGGTTAAAAAACAGAAAGCAAACAAGTCAAACCAATCAATGAAACGTGTAAAATTATTTGTCAAAAGCCATAATAGGTTCAAAAACTCAATGGTGTTCATTAAACTTTGGGTATAAAACTGTAGGTATAAGTCAAATAGGTTAGAAACACAGTTGTATCGACTAAATTCAGGGTATAAATCCATTGGCGAAAGCCAAAAAGGTTAGAAATCCGATGGTAAACATGGGGTATAAAACCATGGGTAAAAAAGCCAGATAGGTTAAAAACCTAATAAAAAGAAATCTAAATAGTTAAAACTAACCCCTGAAGCAACTAGCATAGTGGCAAGCTACCCACCTGAAGCAACAGTACACCCCACATTTAGAGAGCAATACCACCCTGCAAAGACAGGGGATAGCTATAGGCATCATCAGAAAGGTAAGCAAGGACGTAGGTAGCATATCTACTAGCATCACTATCAACTCTACAAAAGAATGAGACCTGAGATCTTATCTTTCCGTCATGTCGAAACTCGATATAAAAATTCAATTATAGCATTTTCTTTTTGTTAGCTATTGTATCCCCTATTCTCGTAATGCGGCTTCTTTATCAAGTTTTTGAGCTATGATATTACAATTTCTCGCCACAGTACAAATTGAAGTGCTTTTTGAGTTTTGATCTAGATCTAACCAATTATAAAGAGTATAAAACATAGAGTTTAAAATAATTATATCACGTCCCATTTTAATTTTAATTTTATTTTTTATTTCAAGTATCATAAATGTGGAGGTGAGATTGAAGCTTCCAATTACGTCATTGATGAATTATCTACTATGTTCTTATTAAAATATGGCAACTGTTAATATATGTCATACAAGAACACAGTTATTATATTGGAGGTTGATCTTTAGGTCAAGACATAGCATTCACATCGTTGACTGGCCTCTTGTATACGACGAACAAAACAATGGTTGCACGATATTCCCGTGTGATAACTTTGAAATATGATAAAAGAGTGGAAGGGAAAAAGAGTGTTGATTATTGTGAAGTGTGGAATCGTTGGGGATAATATATATTTTGATGCGGTATGGATAAGAAGTGGGAAGAGATAGATTTTAGCTCTAGTCTTAAATTATGGGGAAACAAAGAAAAAGAAAAAGAAACCAAATAAATAAAATTCGAGTTTTAGATGAGAACAACTCCAGGGAGAAAAAAAAAATACTATAGTGTGAATAAAATTTGAGTTCACGTGCAATAATTTGAGTAAGGACAAAAAAAAAATAAAATAAAAAATAAAAAATTACACGACATTATTGAGTTAGCCTTTAAGATATAGATAAAATACGAATTGACCTGATAATTTGGGTTTATTTCAATTTTATTTAACAGAATAATTAGTTTGTGTTGAATAAAAAAATTGACCAACTCCGCGAACGTTGGCTCGGGTATGGATGTCCTGGTCAATGAGTCGAATGTGTTGAACAGAAGACCTGCAAAATAGGAGACACTCTGATACCAAAGTCAATAGCTAGCCGAACTAAACTCAAGAGAGAATATAGTGTTTGCATACCTCTAAGTGGAGTAAATGAGTTCTATTTATAGGCGATATCCCAAATCGAGTTCCCGACAAGGTCTCAACGGCTCTTTAAGGTTGCTGTGAAATGTAGCGTGTTATCGTGGAATCTGTTGGAGATTGGGACTGAGCCGAGAGGTAAGCTAATCGGTTTAACCGATAACCGAGAATAGAAGTTTTTAAGTAAGCGGTTCGGCCACCAATCACCTCTGAACTTTGATAGTGAAAGCCACGTATAACTTCCATGATCTACCCATTGTACATTACGTGTGAGCCGAAAAATCACCTCCAACATTGATCGCCACTATGCTGAGGCGCCCAATCTTCTCAAGTTTGTTATTTTTTTTCACTCCATCTTAAAAAGAAATGGAGATATTTTTATTACATTCAAATTAATAATCCTTCTCCGTTCGAATCGATATAAAAGACCAATTAACCACTCTCCACTTAATTAAAACGAGACCATTAAGTATTTTGTGAAATAAATCTTCAAATTATATGTAGTAAATTTAATACAGATTTTTTCAAGGGTAAACATCACAATTATCCTAAATTTGAAGAACTAAAGAATATAAATTTTTCAAAAGTATATTTTTGGAATTAAAAATAACTATTCCACACTTGTATTGGGTAAAAATTGTAAACAATAAACATAAATGTTATTCCACGACTATAAATTTCGTTTGTCTTTATATTGGTGTGTTATGTGTTAAACCTAGTTTTTTCTTTCTTTTCTTTTGTTTCAAAGAATGGTAATTTCAGACAAATAAATAAATAAAATTCAGTTTGCCACATGGTCTACAAGTGATGATGGCTTTTCATATTAAATGTTTTCATAGCCATATAAAAGTGCTATTACTTCTCCCTTTCGTTTTATTTCTTGTCATCGTTTCTTATTTTTTAAAAAATAGACATGTTTTTGCTAACCCGTCATGTTTCTTATTTTTAAATTTACAATCACGTTTCTAAAGAACATATTCAATTTTAGAAATTATGAAAAATATTTTCGTTTTTACCGTTTTCATTTATAGTTTTAGAATAAATCCTATATATCGGGTTTGTAATCCAATCTAAATCCTTAGATAGGTTGGTGTAAGTGCTCACATTCAAGCTGTCCTTGGTTTGAGTTGCGTATGTCACTAGACTTGAATTCTTTATTTATTATCTATTTTTTATAATTATTGTTTATATTTGATATTATTTAGAATTTTTTTATAACAAATATTTGAAAATTTTATTATTTATTTTTTTAGTAAAAAAAAAATTATTTATTAGAAGCTAATAATTTAGACTTTTATACCAATTTATATGGTAAATTATATTCTTCCCATATATGTTATATCTACTAAATTTTATTTTAACAAAAAGTAAAAAAAATAAAAAATAAATAGCCAACTTGAGCATAGCTCAACTCATCTGACGTTCTATACAAGAAATGGAAATCATAAAACAAGAACGTTACCCAAACGAGCCCTTAATAGCATGAGTTATTAGGACTTTCAAAAACCGCTATAAAAAATCTATTATAGCAATTTTTTTTTAAAGCTAATGTATCCCTTTTTCTCATAATGCGACTTCGTTAGAAAGCTTTTGAGCTGTGATATTACCATTTCTTGCCACATGTACAAATT